CAGCCTGGGCTACAAAGTGAACTTAAGGCCAGCCTGAACTACACAGCGAGACCCTGTCTCAAAAATAAATAAATAAATAAATAAATAAGCACAACTGTAGCATCTTCCAGGAATTCCTCCCTTTCAAGGTCATTCGAGATATTTTTCCAACCTGACTTTGAGAAAGAGATTGTACACCTGACCTCTGCCCTCTTGCTTCCTTTAGCAGACCCTCTTGCAGACCTGACAGCAAACAGCTGATGAGCTATCACTTGTAACTATGCTAAAAACCAGACAGGAAAACTTTAAGACAATGTCCACAAGAAATATGGGCTATGGTACTTCTGTGGTTTCTTATCTATAATTTCTTAAAATTCAGAAATATGCAGAAATTGTGTCTAGCCCGTTGTTTGAGAAAGAAAGCTATTTCTCAACACCAAGTTAGCCTTTTGGCATTGGAATTTAGTGGTAGAGGAAAATATCAAAGAACTTTGAGATTCTTCTGGTTAGCAAGGAAAACACACATACTCAGGAGCTCCAAGGTTTCTCAAGGTTGAGAATCTGTTCCTTGAATCACTGAAGAAAAATGGTGAGTTCCAAGATTACTTTTTTAAGGACGAAACCCCGAGGTAGGCTTCTGGGAAGTGGCTACACACCGTGGTGCTCAGCCTGATTGCAGCAGGCTGGCAAGGGTGTCTCTAGTGGGAGAGCTGGACTTGAACTTGGCCATGTGTTGCATGGAGAAATTGTTATCACAGAGACTGGACAGCAACAGGGACCTCTTCCATGCCGGGCCAGATGGAGCAGCCACAGCAAGGTGCCATAGCTCTTACTTATTTCTAGCAAAACATATGTCTTGTCCCACTCTGGCCTTTTGAACTAGCAAGGCAGAGCTATATGTACGGGAGAAACCCGCAATGCATACTGCTAGGATCTGTGGTGTGCAGTGCAGGGCAGAAGACATTTCCAGTACAGCTTTGTTATTGCACCAGCCCCTCCCAGGTCATCATCGGAGGTGAACCATGCGTTTTTAGGGCAATGATTGGCAGAGTCAGCTTTCTGTCACTATTTTTAAAAAAATCCGAAACAATCAACTTGCAAAGAAAAATTATTTCAGTTACAGTTGCAGCGGTTCCAGTCCCTGATCTGGAACCCATGGCTTTGGTTCTATGGTGAAGCAGCTCATCATGGTGGAGCACACACTGGAGCGAAACTACTGACCTGATCGCGAGCCAGGGAGGACGAGAGTCCCCTTCCCCCACTCAAGGCCACCCTCCCAATGACTAACACCTCCCACTCAGCCCAACATCTTCAAAGTTTTCACAGCCCCCGTTCAGAGCTGCCCTGGGAAACAAGGCTTTTGCAGGTGGGCCTTTGGGCATTTGACCCACAGCAATGTCCCTGTATCACACCTCGGCCCATTCCCCTGCACCAGCCAAAGTTTCCATAGATTCACCAATCCCAAAGGCTTGCGGTAGCTTTCGTTAACAGGGTAGGTGATCAGCGTCATGTACTGCTGAGAATGGGATGGGGAAGTTAGTAGGCATCAGAGGTAAAATCCATTGCAGAGATAAGATTTCAATGGAGACAGGAGATGGAAGGAAAGTGACCCCCAAGAAAGGTCCACGCTGCATGACTTGAGGAGCCTATGGGAACAGTGCCATCCACAGTATGGGTCAGCCCTCCCGTCAGAATCAGAACAGAAGGGAGCCCCAAAGGCCACAGAACTCCCGGTAGAAGACACCCAAAGAGCAGCTGTTTGGTGGACTGTATTTTCTTGTTATTACATCTCTGAAGTCAGAAGTATTTCATTGACTTCTGGTTAGAATGAATATAAAAATTAATTCATAAATCCACATGGAAAAGCCAGGCTCCAGCAACTGCACCAATAAGGGGGCTCAGGATTTTCCCTGCAACTCTCCTGAGGGCGTCATCAACTGCTGTCCACCAGCCCCAAATCTGCACGTCCTGACCATGGCCCAGAGCCCCACCCAAGGGAGCTCATTCAAGGGAAACGACCCAGAAGATGTACTTCACACTAGAAAAAGTGGGGATGCAACTTCACGCCCAACATAAGGAAACGGGTGTGCACATGACATAAATCCACCGGATGAAGCACTGTGCAATAAATTACTCTGTAACAAGACTACATGGCAACTGCTAAAGTGTTGAACTTCCATGTTAAACGAAGAAATGCCCTCCGATTTTGATTACGTGAAATTATTGTAGTATGCGTGCTTAATGACAAGACCACAGAAAAGCAGAAGAGTTCGCACGGTGGAACTTCAGATGTTTTTTTTTTTTTTTTTTTTTTTTTTTTTTTTTTGGTTTTTCTCCGGTACCAGGAACCGAACTCAACGACCTTGCACTTGCCAGGCAGGCGCTTTTGCCACTGAGCTAAATCCCCAGCCCCTCAGATGTTTTTTTAAAAAAGTTTCCTGGTGCTGCTTATACAATAAATAGAAATCAAGAAGAAACAAATGAGCAGAATTAAAATACATACTAAGCTAAGCTTTAATTTGCACGAAGTTTTTTTTTTTTTTTTTCAGAAACAGTAGAATTTTAACCACCTAGGAGCCAGGAGAAAAGATGAGTGTTACGCATGCATCATGCTCTTTTTCTTGCATTTGAAATTTTCCTAATAAAATGTTTTTAAAGGAACTATAGCCATCGAATAGTAAAATGAAGGTTTGTTTTAAAGACATGCACAGCAGACAAGCTTCCTTCATCTGGCAAATAATGATGCCTGTTCAGGAAAGAAATATTTATTTGAGGCTGTTCATTCACTCAGATTGGTTGCTCTGTTTACGCCAATCCCCCATTTCCATAATGGAAAAGCAAAGAATTTATAGTTCATCAGAGGGGAGCAGAGCTAGAAAAAGTAGGCCAGCTTAAAGACGTTCACCGGAGGGCCCTGGCCTCAATATTTCTGCTGCAATTGATTAGGAGATGGAAATGTCTTCGCATCCCAAACCCGCCGGGGTTCTGTTTTAACTGAGGCGTGCAAGGCAGAGACCCAGGGCTGCCCTTGTGCCTCCAGTACGTCTCCCTCTCTCTCTCTTTCTCTCTCTCTCCCTCACAGCGCAAGTCTGTGTCCTAGATGTCTGAGACCCATTTCTACCCTGCCCAGCACTCTAGCCTGATAAGACAGCTCCAACTCATGCTGGCCACCACTGCAGCACATTACATGTACCAACCATTCAATCCCTGCTCATAATCTCATCTCACAGGGAGGAAAAGGAGCCCACAAAATTTGCCTGAATAAGCCACCTCCTCTGTGGCCAAACTGGAATACAAATGCAGACAGGAAGCTCTGGATTCTACGCACAAACCACTTGCGTTGTTTCTGCCACATTACTATTGGAAGCAGCGATGTAATGAGTGACCTAGTACCAGTACCACTTCCCATTTGTGCGGGGATATTTGTAGGCTATATCCCTAGAAATGGGTTCCTTAAATATTCAATAGTATATTTGGTTGAGTTTCTCAGAACTCACTGTAGCTTCTGTTGGACAGGACATACATTTGTCTTATTCACCCAGTGGAGAGGCAATAAATACGATAAATATGTACTGAATTTCTCCTTTACTCTTTCAGCGAATATTTATGAAACACCCGCTGCGTGCCAGTTCTGACTGCTGGGGATACCAGGAAGAAGCCCTGGCTCCGCTGGATCTTATGTGCTGGATTCGGGAACCAGAGGCCATTAACAGAGAAGCAACTCTGCGGTGTGTTGTGAAAAAAAATGCCGAAAAGAAAACTAACACAAAGAAGGATGGAGTTAGGAAGTCAGCAATTAAAACAAACATTTATCAAATAAATCGGTGGACAAAATAATTCTGGAGAGAATGTTTCCTTACAGTAATGGTAACTGTGAAATTTTACACAACTTGGGTGTCCGATCAGAAGGATGGAGTCCAGATACCTCTGCGCTACTGGAGCTACAGGTTTGCAGATGTGAAAGAGAAAGAACAGTGCCTGGGAAACCAGTGTCCCCTGGAACACTCTCTGTTGGGAAAAGTGGCATAGGTCCCCAAAACAAACTTAGGTGTGAGCAAAGCACTCTGTCACGGACGGAAATCCACCTAGGCAGACACCAGTGTGCTAACAACCATCAAGAGCATGACGCCCAGTTTCTCGCTCCTAGTCTAAAAACGTTTGCACAGTCAAATTTCCAATGCAAATTATTTTGATCCTGATAGCACAAAGGGAAGGAAAAAACCTCCTTCACCATTCTCTTTCCTTTAATGAAGAATATTCCGGCTATGAAGTCAGAAAAGTGAAATTCAACCTTAATCACTGGATTTCTTCAAACAGGAGAATTTGCCAGCAGAAAATCAACCTCTTAGGTTAAATGTGGACCTTAAAGTCGGAAATAATATAGGTCTGCATAAATCTAACAGCTGAAAGCTAAGTTTGCAAGGTTAATGTTTATTTGGTGGCGTCAGGAATAAAGGGCAATTCATTATAGTAGTAAACTGGGTTCCGCTTCACAGAGACATACACGTACAGGGTTTCATAAGAGTTCCCACAACTTAGGCTTGGCAGTTCCAGTCTACTTAGAAAAGCTTTGCTGATGTCATTGGAATAAAGTTCAAAACACATCACTTCACCCTAACACTGTGACATCAAAAGATAGCACTGAGTAGGTGTGTTTGCACACTTTGAGATCAGCCCTATAGGGTTCTGTTTACACATCAAACACGTTGGATGCCTTTTCCCTTAACTAAGACCATCCACAATTCAGGTTTTCCGACTAACACCCAAAACACCACTGAGCGCTCAAATTCCACTTGCTATATTTCTGAAGTGTTTCTAAATAGGGCTTTTCTGTGAGAAGCACTGCTCTGGTCATGAGGGATCCTCTCTGCGCCCTCGGGGCAGGTTCTGATGTGCACATCAGCCTTCCCGAGACCCCACAGTGAGGACACAGTGCCCGCCGGTGGGGCAGATACAGCCAGCCGTGCACAGACCCGTCTCACTGCAGACCCCAAACCCTGGGAGCCCGGGCCAGCACTCACCGGGTGCCGCAGGCGGCAAAGTCCGTTCTTCCAGACCAGGGCTCGGAATTGGCACCCAATGTGCCCCATGCCCGCTGCTCCCTGCTCTTGGCCAGGAAGTCCGCCTGTGAGTGCCACTTATATCTGCCCGGCGCACAAGAGGCCTGTCGCCGGTTAGTCAATCCCACTAGAGCGTGTGATGCAAGGGAGATTACTGGGGACAGGAAAGCAGGCATCAGATTCCCTCGTGCTCTCAGCAGCTGAGGAGTCTTAGCTTTGCAGGAGCTGCTCAGGCATGGGGAGGGCTGGCCCCCCACGGGCTGCCTTCGGGCCCTTCCTGGGCATGAGCACAGAGGGGCCCACGCTTGCCCGGATCCCACACAATGGAAGTGCCCCACAGGTGGAAGGCCCGTGTTTCCCACAACCCCCTACTGATGTTAATCGGATGTTATTATTCTACTCCGTTCCTGACACCTGACCTGTCACACTAACTTACCAAAATAGTTCATTTTGGTGCTCGCATGGCAGAGGCTGAAAAGGAAGGACGGGCGCTCTGGGCCGGGGGAGACTGCAGGGTGGGTGGCTCGGGGTGCATCAGTTGCCCCAGCACGCTCCACGTACACGCCCACGCACTCCCCACAAGGCTGGACTCAGCTAGGGGTCGCCTCTGAGCCCCTGCGACCTCTACACACCCGCACACTGATGGGGCACGGCACATTTAGCCAGGGGCTGGTTGCTCCATCGTCCCTGACACCAGGCCCTCCCGAGTTCCTGTGGCCCCTGCTGTGGTCAGAAGGACGTCGGGCAACCCGACCGTGTGGGCTTCCATTTCCTAAAGCAATTTTCACAAGCTGTAAGCGCTCAAGACACGGCTTTCGTAACAGGAAGCGGGGTCACAGGCTCCGGCAAAGGACTTGCCTCGAGGATCCTTAAATTTCTGCCTTAACAGGACATCGAGGTCCCTTTACGTTACCATGTGTGCATCACTGGCAGCACCAGAGTGACGTGCTCAGTGCACACCGTGGGTTTGGGTGAGCCCGTGGGGGTCTCTCCTCAGCCTCTACCTCCTCACAGGACCGTCTAAGTACTTCAGCCACGGTTCTCTTTGCTGGAAACACTTCAAACACCACAGGTAATTCTGATGGTTTTTTTAAAAATTCTGTACAAGGAAAAGCACGAGACAGTCCCGTTTTCCACTGCGACGCTGAAGCAGCACCAGGGGCATGCATTTCATCTCATTCCTTGCTTGCACAGAGCAATGTCGCTGGGGTTCTTGAGAAACAAAAACCATTGGTGACTGACTGACTGACTGGCTGACTGGCTGACTGACTGGCTGACTGGCTGGCAGGTTGACTGACTGACTGGCTGACTGGTTGGCTGACTGGTTGACTGACTGACTGACAGGCTAACTGGCTGACTGACTGGCTGACTGGCTGACTGGCTGAATGACTGACTTGCTGACTGGTTGATGATTGACTGGCTGATTGACTGACTGTTTGACTGGCTGACTGGCTGGCTGGCTGGCTGACTGACTGACTGGCAGACTGGTTGACTGGCTGACTGGCTGACTGGCTGGCTGACTGGCTGACTGGCTGGCTCGCTGACTGGCTGGCTGACTGGCTGGCTGGCTGGCTGGCTGACTGGCTGACTGACTGACTGGCTGACCGGCTGAATGACTGACTGGCTGGCTGGCTGAATGACTGACTGACTGACTGACTGACTGACGGACTGAATGACTGGCTGACTGGCTGGCTGAATGACTGACTGACTGACTGACTGACTGGTTGACTGGCTGACTGGCTGGCTGGCTGGCTGACTGACTGACTGGCAGACTGGTTGACTGGCTGACTGGCTGACTGGCTGGCTGACTGGCTGACTGGCTGGCTGGCTGGCTGACTGGCTGGCTGGCTGGCTGACTGACTGACTGGCAGACTGGCTGACTGACTGACTGACTGACTGGTTGACTGGCTGACTGGCTGGCTGGCTGGCTGACTGACTGACTGGCAGACTGGCTGACTGACTGACTGAATGACTGGCTGACTGGCTGACTGGCTGGCTGGCTGGCTGACTGGCTGGCTGGCTGACTGGCTGGCTGGCTGACTGGCTGGCTGACTGACTGGCTGACTGACTGGCTGAATGACTGACTAGCTGGCTGGCTGGCTGAATGACTGACTGACTGACTGACTGACTGACTAATTGACTGGTTGGCTGCCTGCCTGCCTGACTGACTGACTGGCTGAATGACTGGCTGAATGACTGGTTGGCTGCATGACTGGTTGGCTGCCTGGTTGAGTGACGAGTGACTGACTGACTGTAAGGAACTGGCTCACTCAGCTAGGCATGTGGGCGGGTCCCAAAGCCTACAGGTGCATCCAAAAGTTAAGAGACAAGACAGCTGGTGGCTCAGCTTCTAAGAGGCAGCAGGCTCAGGACACAGGGGAGCTAATTCTTCTGCTCAAGTCAGAAGTCAGAGAAAAAGCTCTCTCCCAGCATGAAGACCATCAGGCAGAGGAATTCTCTGCTATGCAGAGGAGGGTCCACTAGTTTGATCTATTGGGGCCTTTGACTGACTGGATGAGGCCCAGCCCCTTCAGGAAGGCCATCTCGCCTGTCTTCCTCCTTCCATGGTAATCTCATTAACAATACCTCACAGAAACTGCCAGGATAACGTCTCAGCAAGTATCTGGGTATCTGTCAGGGTTTATACAGATTTCCTCCAAGAGCCCCATGCACTCATGGGTGGGGTTTCTGGACAACTATGGGATTATGGGAGCTTACAGCTGATTGGCTGTTAGGAGGTGGGGTGTGACAGGAAGAGGCGGGTCCTTTGGGGTGTGACCTGGAAGGGTTGGTCTCTCTCCGGCCCTCCTTGCTTTCTGTCTGCTTCTAGGACACTGTGATGTGAGTCACTTCTGCTTCACTGTGCCTTCTGCCATGCCCTCTTGCCTTGCATCTGGGCAACCATGAACTGAAACGTGAGCCAAAATAAGCTTTTCCTCCTTCAACTTTTGGATGATAAGTATTTTTTTCCAGCAGTAAAGAAAGCAACTGAGACAATGTCTCACGGACCAACCGGAGTCCTCTTCTGTCAGTGTGGTACCCTATAGATCCCTTACGCCAGGCTTCATCTCCCAATAAAAACAATCACAAAGTCATAGTTCTACCTGAGATGGTACAACTCTCTGATTGACAACCATAAGCACACTAGCCCCTTCCCCAGAGGAGGAGGGGGAGTCTATTCGAGTGACGTTCCTTCTTTCCCTTGATAGTCCTATAGTTTGACTATCCTGATGTAAACTTAACAATACTTACACACTAGAATGTAATTACATCCTGTTACATGACAAGGTGGTAAGAGGTAGAAGAAAAAGACATTTGTTATGCACACAAACACTGCCAAAATGCTCAAGGTTGACAGATTTGCCACAACTTAGGGTCCTGAATTTTGGATGTGGAGGTGGAGCCCTAGGGGGTGAAGGGAGAAGAGAGAGGACTGGAATGGAGAACTCTTATTTCTGTGGGAAATAAGGACCCACAACACATGGTGGGAAATGGAACAAGGTACAAAGTACTGAGCAGTGATATCAACAGGATAAAAGGAGGAAAGGCCAAGGCTGGTGAGACAGTGAAGATACAGGGTTGGGGCACCTAGCAGGGGATGAATTTCCAAGCAGAGCCAGCATCGGGCCCTGGAATCAGTCAGGCAGGAATCCAGGTCCAACTTATGGGTATCCAGTGCTGTCTTAGTTACTTTTCTCATTGCTGGGACAAAATGACCAACACCCATAATTTAAAGGAAGAAAGATTTATTGTGACTCACGGTTTATAGAGGTTTCACCCCATGGTCAGCTGGCTCCAAGGCACAGTGGCACAGCAGAGGGGCATCACAGAGGAGAAGCAGTCCATGGCAGGATAGGCAGGAGACAGCAAGCAGTGAGCCTGCCTTCCTTCTTTTCCCCTTATATTCTATCCAGGCTATACATTATCCACACCCAGAACTATGCTAAGACAATGAGTGGACTAATTGAGTGATCACACACCCTAATCCAAGTGCACACACCTGAGATCCAGCCACCTCCTAGAAAGCCCCACCTGACTGTGTATGAGGCTTTGGGAAGACATCTAGACACCAGTCATAGCAATGACCTACTACCCATGGCTAGCTGTCCCAGTCAGTACCTCTGTGAAGCATGTACCATGGATGAAATAAGAAAAAGCACCAAATACATCCCTGGTTTCTCCCAAAGCTGCCCACTTCCAGAGCCTCACAGGCCCGAGATGAACTTTCCAAGAAGCTGGCCTCTGGAGAGGATGATAATCAATGCCCACACACAACTGATGGTACAGGAATACTTTCGTCCACCTGCCTGGGGTGACCAGTAGCTCCACGACTGCTACGGTATGCACAGAGCAGAATATTAAAAGTCCAGAGTCAGTCACCAACAACCAGAGAAGAAAACCATGAGATCAGACTCCTCAGCCTCTCCACTATGATGCACAAAGCAAAGGTTTTCTGGGTCAACAGTGACTAAGAAATGGGAAACGTGCTACGATACCCGTAGCACAAGGAGTACCAAGAAAAGGAGGGTATTACAGGCTGAAATTGATTCCTCCAAAATCCTAACACCCCCGGGCCTGGACTTGAATGAAAGTCAAATGAGGTCCTCAGAGAGGACCCCTAATCTAGTAAGGCCATGTCCTCAACAGAAGAGCAAGACACTGAGAGTGTGCATGCCTGGAGGGAAATCCAGGCAAGGACACAGCGAGAAGGTGGTCTTCTCCACTCCAGCAAGAGCTGCTCCATCAGAAACCAGCCTCTATGTCACCTTGATCTCTAGCTTCGGTCTCCAGAATTGTGAAAAAAATCAGATTTCTGCGGGATTTCACTTTGGCCACCTGAGTGTTCTAGTTAATACACAGCATTGAGAAGAGTGACCCAGGAACCTACATTTCTAGTTGAAAGCCTGAGGATGAGGCAGGCTGTGAAATTTAAGCCTGACATTTGCATCTGACCTGCACCGGGAATTGCTTTGACTCCGGAAGACAGTGAGAAAACCATGCAGTTGGCCAAAAGGAAAAAAAAAAGTCTTTTTATGAAAGGATCCTG